TTTATTGCCTTTTTTACTTTATTTATTATATTTAAAAGTCTTATAATTATATTAATAATATATTAATTTCTTCAAAGACACCTCAGAAATTCAAATTTATTATCCACAGAGATGTATCAATTTGCGGCAGAAAAGACAATTAAAATTGATTGAGCCGTCTAGAAAAATTATTTGATTATAACAGTGATGGAATAATATCGAATAAAAATAAAAACCAATATATCACGACTTACCGATGAAGGATCTATTAAAATAAAGATCGGAAGCTCAACGGAAAAACACAACCGTGACATTACATGATATGCCTTAAACTGTCGCGCGGACGGAGAAAATAAACAAAATACAATGAAATAAGAACAACAAGGCAAAAAACACGATCATGATGAGAAAAACAAATTATCAGTGCCGGTTAATTTAAAACTTTTTTAGGTTTTTAATAATGGTGTTCGAAATCGAACTAACGGTAATAATACAACAGCAATTATTATAACGAGCGTGATAATAAAGCGCGGCTTAATCACGCTCAAAAGTTGGCGCGCTGGCGGACATCTCGCGCGGCGCCCGGCTCGCCGCGAATCAGAGCGCGCGTAAACAGCTGCGCTCCGCAAATCGCGCCAGGCCCGCGGCATCGTTCGTGCCATTCGAAGCGGGCCACGCAGCGGTCACCCGGGAGAGCCTAAAACGACAAACAAAGTCTAATAACAACGTTCAAATTTTAACTAATCATCGAACATAACAACCGACGCGAAATTTGAGACAAACAAGTAGAAAATTCTAGAACACAAAAAGATCGGTTGTATAAAAGCTCTCTCGGGGAACCGCCGGGCGCACTCGATCCGATATTTTTGACGAGACAGTGTGTGAATTTTGTACGTAGACGTTCGCTAGATAAAGTTAAAGTAGCTCGCTTTTCCTTTGTTAACCATCGCTTGTGGTTCGCGAGATATCGCGTCTTCGAGACTATTTGTAGCTAGCAAATATTCGAAACGAAATTCTATACGTGGCTCGCTGGTTATTCCGTCGCTCGCGGAACCGCTCCGTTTATACCGTCGCTTGCGGTATTCGATATATCCGTCGCTCGCGGAGATTATCGTTGCGCTCCCGGTTGCTCGCCGGAGCCAGACACGGTTAAGATTAACATAAATCTGAGCAACAAAGAACTTGTTAACTATTTATTGTTTTAAATTAAATTGACTGCTTTTCACATAACGCCTTCGTGCCCATTTCACGTGATCCTCGCGCTCCCGCGTTCACTCGCGCACATAAATCTGGTCCTTCGAGCCGGATTCTTCGAAACCGGCATCCGCGTAGTGTGTGGTGAATCCCGTGGTGAGCCTCTCCTGTGCTTTTCGGAGAGGAAGTGAGCAATTCCCAGGACGAGATTCCTCACTGTGAGGACCTGAAAGAGACATGGAGTCGTTAGTCCTAGCTCAACACGAGCTCTGCAGTCGTATCGCGCGCACGTACGACAATTTGAAAAAGGTAGGACAAGCTAAAATCAATAAGGGACTTATAGCGACCACGCTCAAGCTGCTGGACGCCAAATGGGCAAAGTTTGAGGAGCAGCACGAGCTACTGGTCACAGAGTATGGAGCGGAAATCAGGAAGCATGAGTACGGGACAAAGGACTTTCTCGGTCAAGTCGAGGAGGTTTGTGTGATTCAGCGCGCTGCTGTCCTTGAGCTGGAAGAAGCTCTCACTCAGCCAACTTCCCCGAAGACTGGATCGAGGCTCTCTGGAGACGAGCTTCGAGCGGCATCTCGTACGACTTTCCCACGAATCCAGCTTCCCAGCTTCTCCGGGAGATACGAGGACTGGCCGGCGTTCCGTGACTTGTTCCAGTCCATCATCGGCAAGGACTCTTCAATCGCTCAGGTAGAGAAGATGCACTACCTGAAGACCTGTCTAAAAGGTGAGGCAGAGCTATTAATTCGTAATATCGCCACGACCGGGGACAATTATGACAGTGCGTGGGAAATGTTAAGCGCGTACTACGAGAACACACGGTTGTTAGTGCGCGCGTATCTCGCGAATTTTCTCTCACTCCAGAAAATGAGGAGTGAGTCACCGGGCGACCTAAGAAAGATATTACATTGTCTGAAAGCGACTGTCAGTTCCCTGGAAAATATCGGACGCCCTATCGACTGTAGTGAGGATCTATTCGTGTATCTTTCGGTCGAACTCCTCGATGCGCGCTCTCGCCGCGAATGGGAAAACTCGATCAGCGACTCCAAGGAACCTCCGTCCTTCGACAAGCTCGAGCTATTCCTCGATAGACGGCTGCACACCCTGGAGTCAACGCTACCTATCAAAGCCGATGGCGCCTCGAGCAAACCAGGGAGCAACATTCAGAAGTCCACGCGCCGCCACTTCACCAGCAAGCAGGAGCTCAAACCAGAGGTCAAGCGCGGTCGCTGCGCCCTATGCCAGCGCGATCACTTCTTGATGCTTTGTGATGGGTACAAGAAGAAGACGGCGCTCGAACGGAAGCAACTCGTCGAGGCCAGCAAATTATGCCTGAATTGCCTCGGTCGGCATCAGGTAGGGGAGTGCGCTTCCAAGAAAGCGTGCTCGGTGTGTGATGCGCGTCACCATTCCTCGCTGCACGATGCCTGCCGCGAAACCGCCGTTGTAAAATCATCGCACGTCGCGCAAGGACCTTCGGACAAGCCAGTAATAGTGCTCCTCGCAACAGCCCGCGTCCGCGTCGCCGACCGACACGGATTGTTGCACCCCGCGCGCGCTCTCATCGACCAGGGCTCTGAGTCGTCAATCATCTCCGAGCGCCTCGCGCAAAGGCTGAGACTGCCACGCACACCCGCATCGGTCAGCGTATTCGGGGTTGGTGGGCAGAAGTCCGGTCATGCCAAAGGTCGCGTCGCCCTCTCGCTTTCGCCGCGACACGGAGGGGCAGCGATGTCCATTCCCGCGCTCGTGCTTCCGCGGATCACCGTCTACGCCGGCGGAGTAGACTCCGGTGCTAGAGATTGGCCTCACCTACAGGGACTGGAGCTTGCGGATCCGGAGTACGGCGCTTCTGACCCAGTCGACATACTCCTCGGAGCAGATATCCACGCCGCCATCCTCTGCCAAGGCCTACGCAAAGGACGCCACCGCGAATTGGTGGCCCAAAACATGAAGCTCGGGTGGATCCTATCGGGAGCTATAGGTGAAGCCACCGCTTCTTCAAGGGCCCATACTCACCAGTGCCGTGTCGAGGAGGATCTCGCGGGAATGGTGCGCCGCTTCTGGGAGCAGGAAGAAATGCCGCTGGCCGCCACAACGCTATCCAAGGACGATCAAGAGTGCGAGGATCACTTCGTCCGCACGCATACCCGAGGGCCCGACGGGCGATACACTGTGCGCCTTCCTGTCGTTGAGCCGCTACCGGATCTCAGCGGAACCCGTCGAGCAGCACTACGAGTGCTAAAACACATGGAGACCAGATTTTCTCGAGACGCCTCGTTCCATGAGTTGTACGCCGATTTCCTGCGCCAATATGCCGACTTACATCACATGACGCCGGCCTCATCGGACGCTGACCGGGTCAACAAGCGGCTCTGCTATCTTCCTCATCACGGCGTGATGCGGGAAGCTAGCTCCACGACCAAGCTGCGGGTCGTGTTTAATGGCTCGTCAAGATTGCCGTCGGGAGAGACCCTCAATCAGCACCTGCAAGTCGGACCGAACCTACTACCAGCGCTTGCTGATATTCTGCTGCGGTGGCGTCGTCATCGATATGCCATTGCCTCGGACATCGAAAAAATGTATAGGCAGATCGACGTCCACCCTCAGGATCGCGACCTGCAAAGGATTGTGTGGCGTGAAGGTAAAGATATGGACATCAAGGAGTTCCAACTGAACACCGTGACTTACGGGTTGGCGTGCGCTCCCTATTTGGCGATTCGCACTCTCCGACAACTCGCGGATGACGAAGCCTCCAGGTGGCCCCTCGGTGCGGACGTCCTTCGACGGGACGTCTACATGGACGACGTCCTGACGGGGGCACCAACCGTTGCTGAGACTGAGGAGATCCAGCAGCAACTCACGCAGATCTGCAGGGCGGGCGGTTTCCCGCTGAAGAAGTGGTCGGCCAACCATTCGTCATTGCTCGAGAGTCTGCCAGCGGAGGACCTTCTACAGCGGGAGCCCCGGTGGTGGCAACCAGGTGAGAGCCACGCTACCTTGGGCCTCAGATGGCACCCGCACAATGACAACTTCGCCTTCTCGACGCCAACGATGCGGCTGGACAGGATATCTAAAAGGACAGTCCTGTCACTAACGGCCAAGTTATTTGACCCGATGGGATGGCTCGCACCCACCACGGTGCGAGCCAAGATACTTATACAGTCGACGTGGTTACTGGGAGTCGACTGGGACACACCGCTCCCCGACGGCGACGCTCAGCGGTGGCTGGAGTTCCAGGCGGAGCTACCTCTGTTGGAGAGCATCCGCGTTCCCCGCTGGCTGAATAGCGGAACTGGCTGCCGGAGGGAAATCCATGGCTTCGCCGACGCATCTGAAAGAGCCTACGCCGCAGTCGCTTATCTGCGGACAGAGGATCGGGAAGGACGTGTAGAGGTCGCGCTAGTTACCGCGAAAACCAAGGTAGCGCCGCTAAAGCAGATAACTCTACCACGTTTAGAACTTTGTGCAGCAACGCTGCTCGCTCGGCTCATCAGTCACATCCGTCACGTCCTGGAAGCAACGGAGGTGCCCCTTCACCTCTGGTCGGACTCTACCGTAGCTCTAGGATGGATCCGTGGACACCCGACTTCTTGAAAGACGTACGTGGCCAACCGAGTGTCGGAGATCCAGACATCCTTGCCAGACGCCCGGTGGCATCGCATCCCTGGTCGAGACAACCCTGCGGATTGTGCTTCACGGGGGCTGTCTCCAAAAGAACTGGTCGATCACCCCCTCTGGTGGCACGGACCTCCCTGGCTGCGAGCTGAGACGGACCGCTGGGCGATCTCCGATGACGAGAACAGCGACAACGAGCTCCCAGAACGACGCACGCTAGTGCACGCTGCGACCATTGGCAAAGAGGCCACCGAGGAGCCGATTATACTAAGCCGGTACTCCACGCTCCATCGGTTGCTACGAATCTCGGCCTGGTGTCGCCGCTGGCTTCGTCGTCATCAGGAGAAGCGAGCGCCCGATGTACGGGCCAATCCTGCGGTCCGGCTCGTCCTTGGGACCCGCGAAGTCGAGGAAGCGCGCCTGAGTTGGATCCGAGTCGTCCAAGCTGCCAACTACAAGGAGGAGTTAGCAGCCATCACGAAGGGCAAACCAATACCTACACGCAGTACACTTACCCGATTAACCCCTTTCAGAGACCCCCAGGGCATCCTCAGAGTCGGCGGTCGAATCAAGCGCGCTCTTCTCTCCTTTGACGCCAGGCACCCAATCATCTTGCCAGGAGGGTCAACATTTACTCGACTCGTCATCGAGGCGTGCCATCGCCGGACCCTGCACGGGGGCGTGCAGCTGACCCTTGGCTCCATACGCCAGGAGTACTGGATTCCCCGCGGACGGGCACTCGTCAAGCGCTGCCTACACCGCTGCTTAACGTGCTTGCGATGGCGGGCGGCACCCCCGCAGCCACTCATGGGGGACCTGCCGCGGAATCGAGTGACACCAGCTCGGCCCTTCCTCCATACAGGTGTCGAATACGCGGGACCAATGTGGCTAAGAACCTCCAAGGGACGAGGACAGCGCGCTACAAAGGCCTTCCTGGTGGTCTTCGTCTGCCTCAGCACCCGCGCCGTCCACCTCGATGTCGCCTCGGACTATTCCTCCGACGCCTTCCTGGCCGCGCTGCGCCGTGGGCTATGTCGAGCCCTCTATAGCGATTGCGGCACCAATTTCGTGGGCGCCGACGCCCAACTGCGAGCGCTCTTCGCAGCCAGCGGTCAGGAAGGCCAGCGCATCGCGGAAGGGCTTGCTGCCGAAAGGATTGAATGGCACTTCAACCCTCCGGCAGCACCCAATTTCGGTGGACTCTGAGAGGCTGCCATCAAGGCGGCGAAGCACCACCTCCGGCGCGTCATCGGCGACGCCAAACTGACGTTCGAAGAGATGGCCACCTTGTTAGCCCAAATTGAATCGTGCCTCAACTCGCGCCCGTTACAGGGCTTCTCGGACGATCCCGAGGATCTCGAGGCGCTTACGCCCGGTCACTTCCTTGTCGGCACAGCACTCAACGCCGTCCCGGAGCCGTCCCTCGCCATGGAAGCCCCATGGGATGCACCGGCCTAAATGGTGCCAAGCCGACGGGGAAGGTTGTGCCTCCTAAAGTGCGAGACGACGCCGCCGAATAAGTGGCCCCTCGCCAGGATCGAACGCGTGCACCCTGGGGAGGACGGGGTCGTCCGGGTCGTTATTGTGCGCACCGCCACATCCAGCTTTAAGCGACCCTTAACTAAGCTCGTTCTCCTCCCGGTCAGCGCGGCACCGGAAGACGACTACTAAACAATACACACTTTACGTCACCATACACTTACACTAGACACGACTCACTCCACCTCACAGTTACACTCACACACTAAACAGAACAACCGGACACCGCACAGAAAGAATCGCGAACCATTCGCCATCGATTCACATCTAAACAGGCGAAAACGTGAATGGAATGCGAATTCCATAGCAACACACCACGCCCCGCCGACCGATCGCCTGACTCAACACCACGCTCACGCCACGTGATCTAGCGCCGAAACAGCTGAGTATAGTCAGCACGCGCTGACGCGCTAAACTAGGGCCGCAAGCACGAATAACTTTCGTAGGCTTCAACTACGAGGAGGGCGGAATGTTCGAAACCGAACTCAGTGTAATTGACCAATAATTCTGAATTATTTAATTGATTTGTCTCATTATTCTGTACATAAAAGTGTTACGGTAAGATTATCGGAAACTAAATATTTTACGAGATATTTTATTTTTTATATCAAAATATGTCACATTAAGATATAAAATAACTCAAAAAGTACTTAATGAAAAAATACTTTATTATAGTGTTTTGAAAAGCTCTCAAGATAAGCTACAAGAATATGTAATCAATAATGGGGGGTTCCATTTAAGAAAACATCGATCACATTGGCTTGGCCTTGAAAAGGTCATTTAAGGTCAAGTCCATATTTTCATCATGTGTCCCTCTGTGAATCATACAACTTTTGTCTAAAACTTTTTTTTGAGAAACTTCTCCTTTTCGAGATATTCGCGTGGATACATTAAAATGGCCTACCCTGTATATATATGATACATATACCTAGCAAACATCGAATATATCTGCCATATAACATAGATGTAACATGTGCACTTATTATGTACATGTTATATGTATAACAATCATATCTTGGTTTGCTGGGTTACAATTTATGCAGTACAGTTCGAGAAAATTGAACTAAACTATATTATATATGGATGTAAATATATAATACATATAATTTTGAATACGATGATAAATCTTTATCACCGACAGTATATCGGTATAATCGATATGATTGAGGACTCATGAGTAATATATAAACTTCTTCACTATAAATGTGAATGTTTATATATTCTTAAGTATGCACATATTAAAATTTACATTTATATAAATATTAATATAAATATTTATAAATGCAAACACATAAATTCTCTGTCCGCAAAACATTGCAACAAAATTTTATGATTGTTACAATATTTTGGATATTTATAATATAGAAAGGGCTCCTCCATCGCCCATTTTCGTGAGAACGCAACCAAAATATTTTATTATTATTTTCATATCTGCGATTATAATTTGCAAGCGAGATTGAGGCATCTTTTTTCTGGCCAATATTGTTACGAGTATCAGGATAGATTTTTTTTAATCATAATTTCTTATCATTTTAAAAAAGGCAGCAGTTTATTGCTTGCTATAATATTACAAAACTGTTTCCTCGAACTCTTTACATCCTTGGAATATTTTTCCTCATAAGGATTGCCTCCTAATAACGAAGATGTATATATTTTTTCTCTTTAGCTACCAACTTGTATATACACAGCCTGATAGACTATTATGTACGCGAAATTTGGTGCCATCAAAAAGAGAAAAAATACATCGCCAGTAATCACAATAATTATTCCTTCCAATAATTTATAAGTTTTTATTACTGTTATGTCCGGACTGGTGGAGAATTGAGTCGGGATGGAACGCAACTTATACTTACCTCGAAACTTACACTCTCTCTTTCTTTTGCGAGACAAGTGTTTCCGAGTCGACCGAACAATACAGGGCCTTAGACAGGTCAACGACCGGAAGGGTCGCTCTTACTCTATCGAAAGGCCGTTCGCTCGGCGGTCCCTTTTTGGTAAAGGAACTGGATCCTTATTACCCGGGACGGGACTCGGTGCGATTTCGGACAACAGGAAAGAGGTCGGGTTAATGAATTACTCGAATTTAAAATTTAATGTTACATTTATTCAAAAAAAAAAAAATAAATAAATAAAAATGAATGATTTTAAAAAGATAAATTTTAATAGTGAAATATTTAGTTTGATTTATAAATCTTATTTATAAAATAAATTTTCTTAAATTCTAATGTGTATGTGTGTGTGTGTGTATGTGAGTGAGAGGTGTTATTTTCGCGGGTGATATATTAATGTGGAGAACATCAACCGGAATTAAACAGGGAAACTAAAATCTAGATTCCGGTTGGAAATTTACAATAATTATTTTAAATACAAATATATATTATAAAAAAAAGGAAGGTTGAAAAGTAGGGAAAAAGGGTAAGAGGGCTATTGGAGATCTTGGAGTTGTACAGTGGAGGGGGAAGGGAACTTCATCCAGAAGACCTCGATGGGGACGGCAAAAGGAAAAGGGCAACCTGGGACAAAAAATGGAATGATTGAGCCAGGTGGACTGGTTTGAAGAATAAGATGGAATTGGTCAAGGTGTACTATATCTGGACCGACCCGATAGTCCTCGACCGTAAGAGGTACTGGGTAAGGAGGAAACTGACTTAAAAGGTATCTGTACCAGTTTCGTCTAGCCTGTTCTTCGTGGAACTCAGACTCTCCTGCTGTATCAAAAGATCCCTGTTCGGGATCTTCCGGTTCCTCTTTGAGGTCCGGTAACTCTTCCGCGAAGTCCTGGAGGGCTTCCTCAAAATCATGCTCCTGGAAGATCGGACGACTCGAGGCGTGAAGAGGAGGGGGGAGTGGGAATTCTCGACGGTTGATGATCGAGAGATGGTGGGTAGTCGAAGGGGGGAGGGAGAGTAGGATTTCTCGGCGGTTGCTGGAAATCAGCGAAAGCAGGCGAATATCCGGAGGGTGAAGGGGGACCAGGATTTTCCAGATGTTGAGGAGATTCAGAGAAGGTAGGTGAATGTTCAGGGGGAGGAGGAGGAGTAAGATTTCCCGGCTGTTGAGAGGATTCAGGGAAGGCAGGTGACGGGGGACGCTCGGGGGAAGAGGGGGGAGAATAATGAGGAGAAGAAGTAAGAAGACAGGATGGTAGATTGTGTATTTTGTGTGTTCGTGTTTGCTTATTATATATTTTAATTAAACGATGAGTTCTTAGATTGAAGGAATGCTTATCTAGGTTAAATTTCTTATAATTTATAGTGTAATTAGGGTCCGCGGCCGCCCGAGCCAATTTTTTTCTCAGCTGTCTATTCCGACGGTTTCGCGATCCTTTGATGGTCGCGCGCGAAGATTGATTTAATCTTTCCCCTAAGGAAAGGTGATGAGTAATGATAAAAATGAAATCGACTGTGAAGAAATTCTTAATTCACAAAACAATTCTTGGAAGTTTTCTTTAATTAACTAAATAACTCTAGATTTCAGATCCGGATAATAAAGAAAGTTTATATTTTATATTTCTATATGAAAATTTTCGGACGAACTGGGAGTAGAAAGGGTGACAAATGTAATTGAGAAACGCTCTGTAGAATATAGGTGACTCTTAATTGCAGATTGGAAATCACGAGTAGCTCTGCGAAATACAGGTAACTCGTGGCGACTGATAGAAAGTCGAGAGTCGCGCTGTAAAATACAGGTAACTCGTGGTGACTGATAGGAAGTCGAGAGTCGCGCGGTAAAATACAGGTAACTCGGGGTGATTGGTAGGAAGTCGGGAGTCGCGCTGCAAAATACAGGTAACTCGTGGTGACTAATAGGAAGTCGGGAATCGCGCTGTGAAATACAGGTAACGTGGTGACTGATAGGAGGTGAAAAAAAAAGGGATTCGAGATAATATTTCAAGGGAAGAAGTATGAGGATTAAGGAGGAGAAGGCTGCACAGGGAAGCAAATCAAGATCTAAGTACGACGTATCGAAATGAGATACTGATTGATCCAAGAATTATTTCGGAATACAAGACGTAAAATATAATAATAATAATAAAAAGGAAAGGAAAAGAATTGAAAATTGCTCAATCCACTTACTACTTGAGGATTGCGTTGGACGAAACTTGTAGTGGCTAAGTATACTTCGGCTCCAGGTGTCGTAGCTGATCGGAATGGGTTCGGCAGTGATGGCTCGGAAATCCGTTTTGTTGTTGCTGGTTTAAACAACGGCTTGCTGGCACTTAACACTTAAGTATCACTAGGTCTTTCACTTTTATTTAAACTCGCTCTCTACGCAATTTAGAGTCGCGGGAAAATGAATATTTTGAGCTCAGAGCTGACTACTAGCTAAGTAGTGAGTCGGTTGAAGAACGAAAATGGAATGAATTTTTGAGCGAAGATTTCGCGTATCCTCGAATCTTAGCGTCTCCCCATGTATCCTCTCCATTAGACAATCAAATTCTTTTTTAGCAAATCGAATCTTTACTATTTACCCCTCTTATAAGTAGGAGGTGCTACTCTTCCAGAAGAAGGTCCAGAAATTGCGTCTATTGGTGCAGGCTTTTGTTTTTAGAAGTTTAGTTTAGCCTATTGGAGAGTCCGTTATGATCGGTTAAGTTGACATTTTTATTATTCCCGTTGAAATTTATCTCAAACAGATAACACAAGAGGGTGGTCTGGCAGGCGAGCACGCGGTGTCAAGTATCGCGAGTTCTGGTTACGGGTCTTGGTTTCATCTGTAAACCATTGTCCCTGTCCCTCTCCTTATCATTTGTTTTAAACCTTTAAGCCTGTTGCGCGGACCTTAGAGTTGAATATTTGATCCATCTATTTGTTTTCCGTACGCACATGGTCTAGATTTCTAGCGTTCGAGGGTCTCTTATCTTTGTTTGAAATTTTCAAATCTTTGACGTGGGTCTTAGTCCCGGAATATTTATTGATCCGTCTCATGGTTAAAAAAATTTTATCGTTCTGAAAGATTAGTCTCGTCTGCTAAATATTTCTTGGTTTATTGTTTACATCGTGTGCAGAAAGCTTCCAGAGCGTAATTTTTTATATCAGTGAAAGAGTTTTTATGAAAGAAAAGGATTGTGGAGTCCACTGGACGTAATATTACTATACAGGGTGAGTTTTTTAACTTGAAACTGTAAAATATCTCGGAAAGTAAGCTTTATCGAAAAAAATGTTTCAAACAAAAGTTATAGGGTTCGGAGGGGGTCACATGATAAATGAAATATATGGATTTGACCTTGAGTGATCTTTTCAGGGTGAGATCAATGTGATCGACGTTTTCTTAAATGGAACCCCCCTTTTTTATTACATATTCTTGTAGCTTATCTCGAGAGCTTTTCAAACTCACCTTGAAAAGGTCACTCAAGGTCAAATCCATATTTTTATCATGTAGCCCCCTCCGAACCCTACAACTTTTGTTTGAAACATTTTTTTCGATAAAGCTTACTTTCCGAGATATTTTACAGTTTCAAGTTAAAAAACTCACTCTGTATATGATTGGTTGCAATCATATGAAAGAGTATCAGATATGACACTTTGTCCTTCAAAAACGGAAGTTCCTTTAAATTTCTTCTGGAATAACTGTTTTTTAATAACCAGAATATTCATGCACAAACCGCATATGATATGAAATATTTTTTAAAGCAACCAGCACACAAATAAAAATCGCCTCTGGGATAAAATATTTTTTTAATAACCAGAGCGCACATGCAAACCGCTTCTGGAATAAAATATTTTTTAAACCAACCAGCACACGAATAAAAATCGTCTGTGGGACAAAACGTTATTTTTTTAATAACCAGAGCACACATTCAAATCGCATCTGGTGTGAAATATTTCTTAAAACAACCAGCTCACGAATAAAAATCGCCTCTGGGATAAAATGTTATTTTTTTAATAACCAGAGCGCACATGCAAAACGCATTTTTGAAAATATTTCTTTCGACAACCAGTTCACGAATTGATCGCTTCTGGGATATATTCTTCAACCAAAGCGTACATGCAAAACGCATTTGGTGGGAAATATTTCTTTCAACGACCAGCTCACGAATTGATCGCCTCTGGCTAACTAACTACTGTGACACAACTACTATAACAAAATAAATATAATCAATTTTTAGTGAAATATACAAATAAGCAAAAGATTTAATGATATTTTAATAAATTTAAAGTTACTATTACACAAACATATACACACATGTAGATAATATATAATACACATATAGTATGCTCGGATAAAAAAGAGATGGACAGAGAAGAATGGACAAAGAGAGAAAGAAGATATGAGTGTAACTGAGCAAGTGTCTGTACAAGTGCCAATAGTAAGAACGTTTTGGAACATTCTAAACACATTGGCACAGAAAACTCAAAAAAAATTTTGTCACGAAAACAAAGCTTCCTTTATGAGGAAGCAAAAAAGGGAATAGTTATATCTTTCTCCGTAGCAATACTTTATATTTACTCACTAATATTTAGTGACTGATGTGAATTATCAATCGATATATCGTTTTACAGCCATTCCCTCGCTTACTCATTCCTATTCTCTCTCTCTCTCTCTTCTCTCTCTCTCTCTTCCTCTTTCTTTTTTTGCCCATATCTGTCCATTTATTTATAACAAAAATACTATATGAGTATTAAATATTATGTGCATCATATACAGGGTGTCCCAAAGCACCTTTGACAACGCTCGTGAGCAGGTAGAGCTAGGGATGAATCGATACAAGTAAATATGAGTACATACTCGATACTTTCGTCCCGATACCAAATACTTTTAGCATCGATACTTTTGGTTGCGATACCTACTCGGTATCGGAAAAAAGTACTCGTATCGAATCGAGCGAGTATCGATACGCGGCATTGCTGCTACGCAGAGTCTAAAGCCCGTATCAGACTACGCATTAAAAATTGAAGATTAAAGATTAAAGATTGGAATTTGACTAATCAGAACAAAAGGGACTAAAATTTCTTTATCCTGATTGGTCAAATTTCAATCTTAAATCTTGAATCTCAATCTTCAATGCGTAGTCTAATACGGGCTTAATCATAGGCCGGTATTCATAGGCCGGTATTCATAGTCCGTTCTTATATTCAAGATCGTCTGAAGTACGGTCTTAAGATGCTATGCGGCCATTTCATTGGTTGAATGGGATCTTAAGACGACCCAAGACCACACTTAAGACGATCTTGGATATAAGAACGGACTATGAATACAGGTCATAGTCAGTTCTTATATTTAAAACCGTCTTAAGCACAATCTTAAGATGTCCTAAACCAATCACAGAGCCGTATTAGTATCTTAAGACATTACTCAAGACGGTCTTGAAATAAGAACTGACTATGAATACCGGCCATAGATATATAGATTCTATATGTCGATGGTCTAATCTCACCAACATAGATTTATTATTGCTAGACTTCAAATTCCTAAAGCCCGTATCAGACTACGTTTTGAAGATTGAAATTTGACCAATCAGGATAAAAGGAACTAAAATTTCCTTGTCCTGATTAGTCAAATTTCAATCTCAATGCATAGTCTGATACGGGCTTAACGGTGGTAGTCTTGGTGCATTTGTGGCGCTCTCCGGGCTTTAGTGGGAACAAAAATTACAGTTTCGAACATAACCAAATTGTTTTCTATGACTACGGTAGATAATCGGTAGCTTTAATAGGGATTAAAAAAGAAGAATGGGAAAATGGGACCTCCAATATCAGAAATTTAGGGATATTTTGAAAAAAAGACCGCAATGTGGCAAGATGTAAGCATTGTTTCAAAGAAATTAAATATTGTGGGAATACATCTAACTTACATAAACATGTGAAAAACCACAACATTACATTGCCAGCCAAGAAAAATACAATTTCAAGGTAAGTCAATTACATATACGATTATGGAGAAGAAATATTGAAACGTTTAGTCATGCTGTTTTCTGTCTTGAACTTGAAAATTGTACAAAACCGTATATAAAAATTTTATTTTCCTATCAAGACTCAAACCCGAACACAATATCTTGTATCTTGTATGCAATGCCTATTTGCGCAAGCAAAATATTAGAGACAATGTTGTGTTGCGTGTAGATTACTTTCGATTTAAAGTTAAATATCCATTGTATCATTACTCGATGTTCGACGATAAATATATAATAAGAAAAGTTAATTTATTGAGTTTATTTATGTATTTTTTTCAAAGAAGGGCACAAAAAGAAATAGAAGAGGGGGAAAAGGAGAATTCATGTATTTCAAAAAAATCTCAAGCTGGAATAAGACACCTTCAACCGTCTACACCTTCAATGGAATCTTATGCGGTACCTTCAACATTTTCAATGGAGCCTGGAAAAAAAACTGAAGAGACACCTGGACTGAAACAGACTCAAGTGATCAAACAGTACCAATACACATCGACATCGCATAGTGAAATTGAGGAACACCACACGTTAAGAGCAGCTTTTGAAAAAATTTCGTCGCATAAAGGTAAATCATAGGTGTTTTATGATACGAGGGACAGTAAAACAATCAATGTTATACGTTAACCAATTTATCACAATTTTGGATTTAAAAAGATATAAACTGGAATATCATAATATTATTTAACATTTATTTTCATGGTGGTTTCATTTTCAGAGGGCGGCTTGAGATATGAAAAAATCACAATGAGCTTGCTATATTTCATATGCAAAGATATGCGACCTTTCAATGTTGTTGAAGGGGAAGGTTTCTTAAAACTGATGAAAGAAGCTGCTCCCTTTTACAAAGTGCCTTCAAGTTCCTTTCTAAAGAAAAAACTATTCGAAAAGTTTGATGTTACTGCACTGATATATAAACAACGTATTGAGGTAGCCAACGAAGTCTGTTTGACTCTTGATGTGTAGACAGAAACAATGGCCGAAAGAAGTTTTCTGGGAGTAACAGTGCATTTTTTCGAGAGCATAAAAACAGTTAACTGTAATATTGCTACCAGGGATCATACCGCTGAATATCTTTCAAAAATACTGCTAACTGTACTGGAAGAATGGAACATACCGATTCCAAAAATAAGATGTATTGTCACGAACAATGGAGCAAACATGGTCGCTGCTGTAAATTTAGTGGTTACGCAAAAAAATCATTTGCCATGTTTCCCACATACTATTAATTTGGTGGTTGAAGCGGGGTTGAAAAAAGATGTCATCAAAACTGTAATATCGAAAGTAAGAGCAATTGTAAAATGAGTAAAAAATAGCGTGATCAATTCGGACAAATTGAGAAAAATTCAAATGCGCAATGGAGTTTCAGAAGGATCGACAAAAAAGCTTATATTAGACGTAAGCACGAGATGGAACTCGGTATACTACATGCTCGAGCGTTTTGTAGAGCTGACGAAAGTTTGTTCTGAGCTTTTATTCGAAGATTACGCAAGTCCCGAAATGCTCACGGCATCTGAAATTAAAATTATAAAACAGTTAAGTTCTTTATTAAAACCATTTGAATTTGTCACTAAAGAATCTTCGGGGGAAGCGTATATTACTTTATCGAAAGTTATACCAATGGTGAACTGTTTGAAAACCGAACTTTCGAAATTCGTTTCAAAATTTGATTGTATCAATGAGGTTCAAAAAATTTTCGAGGTAGAGCTAAATAGGAGGTACGGAAACATTGAATATAATACACATGCAGCAATTGCAACATTGTTTGAGCCACGATTCAAAAACATCCATTTTCAAAATGCTATAGCATGTTCGAAAGCCATTCGAAAACTCAGAGATTTAATAAAACAAGATAATTATAATACGAGCAGCGAGTCGGAAACGGAAGAAATCTCTAGTGGGAAAACTGATTACGACTTTTGGCATCACCATCGAGAATTGGTCATGAGTCAGAAACGACGAAAAACTGATAAAGGTGACCAATTGTTAATGTATCTGTCCTCGCCGATTTTATCATTAAGATCATCTCCTCTAGAGGAATGGGAGGATATGAAAACCATGTTTCCATCATTATTTAAGCAAGCACGAATATTTTTGCTGGTTGTAGCTTCGTCCGTTCCATGTGAAAGACTATTTTCGAAAGCGGGAGCCACAATAACCAAAAGCAGAAATCGTCTTTCTGGAAAAAATCTTGAAAAACTGCTGTTTTTAGAGAGTTTCTAAAAAACTGTTCTTCAGTTAATATTTCTTCGAGTTGTCGATTCATATAAATATATTTTGTATTAGGATTTACGGTTTTATAACATAAAAATATATTGATAAAGATAAAAAACAACTTTTTAAAATAAATAAAATAGTGTGAGCATATTCTGGAGTGTTTATTTTTTCAATATTTCTTCTGTTCAAGATTGAAACGTTTAATTTAGTCGATAAAATTAAACTGTAAATTCAACCGACAAATCTGAACGGTAAGAGCTGCAATCAAAACCCGAGCGAGAATAAACATCGTCGCGATCAGCCGATCGGCGCGTGATCGCGTGATCAAAACAAAGAAAAAGTGTGACAAACACCTAGATTCTCGAACATTCGGTGCCGAAAATCTCCTATTATGGAAATCGGTCGACCGCGACTCTGTTCCGTCGTTATTCAGTCTGCCCCTGATGACGATTCGAGCTGGTCGATAGCAATCGATCATCATTTCTCGTATCATAATTTCTCGTATGATATTATCTCGTGTCGTATTCTCGCTCGTGTCGTGTCGCGGTACTCATAGACCATTCGCGCTGCTGTTGTTACTTTCGCTCGTGTCGTATGCGCTTTCGTCATTCTCGTTGTAAATTCCCAACCGACATTCTAGCATACTATCGAGCATCGAACTCAGTGCGAAAGACGCCTCAGTGTCTGTATTACTACCTGCTCTATACTTATTGAGTTGGTGATTGTTAATTGTTTGGAGTCCGAGAGTCGACGCGCGTTAACCGTTCCGCGAATGTCCTCTGCCTCGCGCCAAGCAACATCCGGCGTCCGCGTGCAAGATATCCGTTCTCGCAAGAGCCTCTAGCAAGAAGCTCTACAAGATTTCCGATACGCGTTGAAGGCAGTCATTGATAGGACATTTTGAAGATTTCCGTCGGAGTCGCGGAATACGTGCCGTCGCTCGCTCCTATTATTCAAAATTAAACGAACATTGAAAACAATTTGCAATCGAGTATTTTCTGAAATCTCCTTATGGATCTACGGATCTACGGATTCGCGTTACACGCCGCTTCTCGCTCATCTCTGAGCGTTTCTCTAAGATTCGGGCGATCTCGTCGAGGTCGACTTCCGAACATCTTCTTTACGGAAGTTTTTGATCGATATTGATAAAAAAATTGTATTTGTCTTTTTTTTATGATTCCAAAACTTAAATATCGAAATACCAAAAATATAAATATCGATACTTTTATTTCGATACCGAGTAGGTATCGATACTTTTGTTCCGATACCGAGTAGGTATCGATACTTTCGTTCGATACAAGTAATGAGTAAAAGTAGCGATACCCTGGCGGTATCGATTCATCCCTAGGTAGAGCACAGTAAACTGAATAGAAAAGTCCTGTAACATTTTTTTATATAACGCTTAATAAACTCTCTATAATTCCTAACACTAAGTTCTCTGTATTTATTATCAAATTTATTCGCATTCAGTTCAACTTTAAGCCACGCATGGTCCGTTATTTTAGGTTCATGCATTACCTGCATTTCTATTTTATTATTAGCAAAAATTAAATCTATAATTGTTTTACTATCTTTCGTAATTCTCGTCGGTTTATTTACATATTGTTTCATGCCTAAGCTCAACATTGTCGTTTGTAACTTCCTTGTATAAAACGAATCTAACATAATATCTATATTAAAGTCTCCTATTATCATACATTCTCCCCGTATTATTAACTCTTCTATTATATCCTCCAGAAATCTCACGAAATCACCATGCGATGCACTCGGTGAATGATATATTACCATTATTATTCCTCTATACAATTTTTCTTTCACCTCAATCGCAGCACACCAACAATTCGATTCTAATTTTTTTACTAATACTATTTCATATTTAACATCATCCCTTATATATAAAACAACCCCTCCTGTATTTCTATTTTCAGCATCGCATCTAATTATACTATAACCTGGTACGTTCACTTTACTGTCTTCAATTTCAGCAGTCAATCTTGTCTCTGATAACGCTATGAATGCCGGATTTATTTTCTTCATAATCTGATGTTGTATCTCATCTTTATGCGCCATCAAACTTTGCGCGTTTGTATACAATATTATTTCCGCTTCCTTCTGTAGTTGCTATTTCGCATCTTCCCAGCCGGCTCTCCTCTTCTCCTCTTGTATCGCCCTTTTAAATGTTGGACATTCTGGGCTAAGGGCGTCGTGTTCATCACTTATCTTCAGGTTGTATGTTCGAATTTTAAACATACAATTTACACATTTTTTCTTTGTTGCCGTACATTCAATCGCTTTATGATTTCCCGCACATTTGTGGCATGTTTCATCTCGCGTACAATTTTTTGCAATATGATAGTATCCCCAGCATTTAAAGCATCTTTTAACATTAATGTGATTGAATATAGGACATTTTCTCCATCCTACATTTAGTTTCTCCTTTTTCAACATCAATTCATGCGTTTCTTCATCTACTTCAATTATTATCGAACCTTCTTCTTTTTCTCTTCTTCTAAGTTGATTATTATCATTTCTTTTTTCTTTAACTATTTTCTTCACTATTCGCATTTGGAATCCATCATTTATTGCATCAATTCTATTCTGCTTCTTGATTGTAGTTATTAAGTCATCATCATCCAATCTCATTTCTTCTTCGCTGACATTGATAATTTTTATTTTGGGCGTTATCTGCGGTGATTCCGTAACTTTGAAATTTTCTCCTAGTTTGTCCTGCACTGTGGCTTTCAACGTTTTCATTTCTTCTCCAGTTTCACAACCCAGAATCACTGTTCCCTTGCTTCCTTTTTTTAGCTTCGTTATTCCCATCGCCATGTTTTTGATATCTACCTTTTCTTTTATCAATTTTTTTGTAACTTCATTCTCTTGTTGAATCTTGGGTTTGATAATTATAACATTCTCTTTCTTTTTCTCTTTAACTGCTTCACTATAGCTCCTTTGTATTCCTCCTGTTGATCCACATGCTTCTCCCTGTATCATTCTTTTCAACTCTTCTAGCAGTTCCTGCTTAACATTTCCCAATTCTTCTCGAACTATTTCCTTAACTATCATTTTAATTTCCTTCTTACATGCTGTTTCATCTTTTATTTCTTTTACAATTTTTATCAGCCAATCTATTTTTACGTCAATAGTCAATGATCCACTCGCTCTTGATATTCTATTTCCACTACTTGGCATCATAAACGAACCTGTAGATCTTGTAGATCCTAGCCTGTCCCTGCCGCCCCCGGCCACTGCCGATGCCTTCTTCATATCTACTTCACTTTTAATTGTAAATCTGTCAAATGGGCCAGAGCACGATACCAATTCTTGATTTTTATTGTAAATCCTATGCTTGTTTACACATCCTGGATGGTAAAACAGCTTAATACGATTCACCTGATAGCAAGGCTTGCATGTCACCACCTGATCTTTTATTGTCTTTTTACATGCCGAGCATCGATATTCGGCATATTCATCGTGCATGCCGATAATTGTCGGCCGAAACCGCTTATATAAGCGATCAGTCACTTCTGTTCCACTGTCACACATCAGCACTTTTGTCCACTTTAATGTCTATCTGTCGTGTGAGACTTTGATGTCCCAGACAGGAAATGCACTTCTCACACCCACAAATCAACATATTCCGGCTAGATAACACTCATGGCTAATGCCGGTCTATTCCGCTATGACTTGAATAACTTTCTATCACTTCCCGTAACAATTTAACTGTTTAAAAGTTATTACTTTTGCGGAGCGATATTTGACACGTCTTTTCCACTGCAGAGAGAGAGAGAGAGAGAGAGAGAGAGAGAGAGAGAGAGAGAAGCGCGAGTGAACGCGTAAGTGAATATGCGAGGAGCATGAAGCTAAGCGATACGTAGTACATAGTGAGCGAGCGATTAGAAAGAGATAGAGCATATGATCGAGAAAGAAAAGATACTGCAATAATGTTAGTGCGTACATGTATATTACTCTCACACGCATGAAAGAGACGAAGATAGTACGAT